TCAGCTTTCCACCTAGCCTGTTTTGGGCCTTCCTGCCCCCACTTCCTTACCCCCTGCTTGATTAGTGCACGTGGTATGGCCCCCACTATCAAAACCTTGATTTTCTTTGACAGCAAGGTTGAATTTCTTAACATCTACGTTGGAAGACCTCCAAGGTCCGTTCCAACTAGAAATGGGAAGGCCTGGGGAAAAACTGCTGGAAAAATTGGGTGACTTTGGGCCAATCACCAGGAGACAGTGAGTTTTAGTTCCACTTTAGACATGAAAGCATGCTGGGTAGGGGTGGTATTTGACCTGTTCGGACCGATTTGGGTGATCTGGGCGATCTGATAGAGGCAATTTGAATTGGTTCGCCAAATCAGTAAATACCACCTCTGACTGGCCCCCCACCCGCCCAGTTGTCCAGTTGCCCGGCCGCTCGCTACTCGCCCCTTCTGGCCGCTTGCTGCTCACCCTGCCCACCTAACTTATATATGTTGCCTTTGCCACTCAGCCCAGCTAATCACCTTGCCAGCTCTGCTCAGCTCACCAAAGGTAAGCAATGCATGCCGCCTGCTCACCTTTCACCTTGAGTCGGGGGCCAGGTCCCAGGATGTGCCATTTCCTGAGGCCCTGGAGCCACTGCCCATTCGTCACCTGCCTCAGCCAGGTCAGGTAATGTGCCATTCTCCAGCTCTGGCCTTGCCCTGGAGCTTGCCACCTGCCTCAACTTCCTTCGCACCTTGGGGCGGGACACAGCGTGGCTTGGCCGCCTTTTCACCAAGAAGCCTCCAGCTGTCGACCATTGTTTTTGGCTGCCTTCTGAGCAGCTCTGCTGTGACCTTGTCCCTCCGGCTGCTTCCTGTTGTGGCGCCGTTACCTGAGCCTGTGTCATCGGCAGGAGAGGACGCCGAGAGTGAAGGAGAGGAGTTGGCAAGGCCTCCCTCTCCAGCAATGCCTTTGGTGTCCGCCGAAGTTCAAGAGATAGGGCCGGGGCCAAGCACGTCCACGCAGCCACAGGTGGACAGTAATGGGAGACATGAGTCTTGGCTGGATCCTCGGTAGCGTCGCAGAGATAAGCACACACAACTGAAGAAGAGGCGTGCCAGAGATTGAACTGAGTCACTGGACCACACCCCACAGGGTATAAAAGGGGGTGAGGTGGCCATTCAGACTCTGTGACAGACAAAACTAACTACTATCGAGTCACATTGCATCTTTGGAACCAAGGTTATCTGCCTTGGATTTAATTACGGACTGGACAATTCTTGAACTGTGTTTATCTTGTTTATGAATAAAGTTCTTGGCAAGCAGCTACTGGGTTGCTGCCAATCCTCTTATTGGAAGAATTTGTTGTCTGCCAGTTTATTTAACCCCCGGCTGTCTGTTTGTGTGCGTGTGTGAGTTGGGGACAGAACACTTCCATTCTCCTGGCTGGGTCCGGCCGCAAGTAGTACCAGCAGTTAACGGGGTGCAAATGTGCGCTGCCGCCCTGTTCTGGCTCCACACGTGCACCCCATTGCCTGCTGGTGCCACTTGTGGCCGGACCTGGCCAGGAGAACGTCAGCAGCTGAAGGGACAAGGTCGCAGCAGAGCTGCTCAGAAGGCAGGTGCTGGCTGCAGTCTTTAAGAGATCCCGGGAGGGAGTGGGTGATCATAAAGGGACAGACTGCGGTCGGTGGCTGCCTTCTGAGCAGCTCCGCTGTGAAGGGAGGGAGAAAAGTTTGGCTTCTCTCTGCCGCAGCATTCAACATGGCTGCTTCTCGCCTCCTTCTTAGGCTCATACACACAGAGCAAACATGAGAAGGAGGCGAGAAGCAGCTAGGTTGAACGCTAGAAGACTTGGCCGCTGTTGGTTCTGTAGGCGTGGCTTGGTGGGTTGCCATGAGTGATGTCAAGTTGGCCAGCCCACTCAGTCACATGACCCACCACCACCAAGCCACACCTACCAAGTCACGCTCACAGAACTGAGAGGGGAAAAAATTGAATATCACTGATACTGGGTGACTTTGGGCCAATCAACAGGAAACAGTGAGTTATAGTCCTGCCGTAGGAATGAAAGCATCCTGGGTGACTTTGGGCGCCTTAGGTCCAATCCCAAAACAACTGGAGCACCCTTTGAACACCGTCAGTGGCATTGACAGATTCACCATCAGTCAATTGCAGAAGGCAGCTTTGCTTGGAACAGCTTCCATCCTCTGTCGATATCTGTAACGCCATCCAATAGATCTGATGGATTACATCCCAGAGTTCTAATGGGGCTGGCAGATGTTATCTCAGGGCCACTGTACCACATCTTCCAAAAATCCTGGAGCACTGGGGAACTACCATAGGACTGGAAAAGAGCTGAAGTGGTTCCCATCCTCAAAAGAGGGAGAAAAAAAAGAAACAAACCCAGGAAACTAAAGGCCAATCAGCCTAACATCAATACCCGGAAGATACTGGAAAAATAATTTTTAAAAATGACTAGAAACAAACAAAGTAATAACTAGAAGTCAGGACGGGTTTGTTAAAAGCAGATAATGCCAAACCAGCCTCATTTCATTCTTGGACAAAATGACCGAATTAGTAGACCAGCAAAATGCTGTGGACGTAGTTTATACGGCCCGTGATAGAAAGAAGCACCTTCCAGGGTGACCCAGATGGAGAAGGAGAATATCCCGAAAGAACCCTTCACCACATCTGTTGCCCATCTGGCAGCCTTGGGACAACTTCTAAATATTTTTCAGAAGACGCAACGCTAAAGTGGATGAGTGATGACGCAAAAGGAGTGTGCGTATACATTTGCCTGCTGCATTCATTGCACACCTGAATCTGGTATCATAGATTTAAGTAGAGAATATTATATAAATGATCTTCTGTCTGTTCCCTGGCTTGGTTAAAATAGCGTGTGTGTGTTTGTGTGTGTGTGTTTGTGTATGTGTGTGTGTGTGTGTGTGTGTTGTTGCACACAAGACAACACACAACTGGGTGGCTAATACAGTCCAATGAAGAATATTATAGGTAGTCCTCGACTTACGACCAGTTAAACCCAAAATTTCCATAGCTGAGCAAGGCAGTTGTCAAGTGAGTTTTGCCTCATTATACAACCTTTCCTGCCATAGTTGTTAAGTGAATCACTGCAATTGTTACAGTAGCCACATGGTTGTTAAGTGAATCTGGTTTTCTGGTTTTCTCAGAAGGTCGCAAAGGGGGATCACGTGACCCCGGGACACTGCAACTGTCGTAAATGTGAGGCAGTTGCCAAGCGTCTGAATTTTGACCATGCGGATGTTGCAACGGTCGTAAGTCAGTCTCTTTTTTCAGTGCCGTCGTAACTTTGAACGGTCACTAAGCGAAAGGTCGTAAGGCGAGGGCTCCCTCTACCTTCAAATGAAGAATATTAAATCATGACTTTTCTGTCCTTTCCCGAGTTGGTTAGAAGATGTGGGTGTAAAAGTGAAACAATCATGGAAAAGTTATTCCTTCTCTGTTATCCTTTTCTTGCTTCCATATGGCAGAAATCTAGGTGGCCCATGGTCAGCATCTGCAACCTGTCAGCCCCGGTGTGCCTGGCGACCCAGGCCTGACACAATCATCAAGGGTGGGGGGGGGGGGGTAGCAGCAGAGCCCCACCCCCACCCCAGCAATTCCAGAGCCCCACGTCATGGCACAGGAACAATCCTGCCCCTGTTTCAGGCCACAATAACCGGCCCCAGGATGGGCTGGAAAGCGCCAGACTGAGAGACTTAGCTCAGCCCTTCTGAACAAATATTTCCTTCGGCCTTTCATAATTTTTAATAATGCAGGGTGAAAATAATTTTTAATAACGCAGGATGAAAATAATTTTTAATAACAGAGGATGAAAATTGGACTGGTGGACTGGCAGGAATGCTCATTTTCTACTGAATATTATTATTACTATTATTATTATTATTATTATTATTACTATTATTTATTATTATTATTATTATTATTATTATTCTTATTATTATTATTATTATTATTACTATTATTTTATTTCTATACCACCCTTCTCCCGAAGGACTCAGGGCGGTGTACAGCCTATTTAAAAACACAAGACAAACATCAATTTAAAATTTAAAATTATTAAATAAATTTGGCTCCATTTAAAATCCCAGAAATTTAAAATACCCCAATTTAAAATTATTATGTTGATAGCCCGGCCTGGCGGAACAACAGGGTCTTCAGTGCGCAGCGAAATATCCGGAGGTCGGGGATCTTACGTATTTCCGGGGGCAGTTCATTCCACAGGGCTGGGGCTCCCACAGAGAAGGCCCTCCCCCTGGGTGTCACCAGTCGACATAATTTGACTGACGGCACCCTGAGTAGTCCCTCCCTGTGGGAGCGAACTGGCCGGTGGGAGGCTACTGGTGGCAGAAGTCGGTCTCAAAGGTACCCGGGTCCTATGCCATGGAGCGCTTTAAAGGTGGTAACCAACACCTTGAATCGCACCCGGAAGACCATTGGGAGCCAGTGCAGCTCGCGCAGGAGGGGTGTCACATGGGCACAACGAGTTGCGCCCATAACCACCCGCACGGCCGCATTCTGGACCAGTTGGAGCCTCTGAGTGCTCTTCAAGTGGAGCCCCACGTAGAGAGCATTACAATAGCCCAGCCGGAAGGTGACAAGGGCATGAGTGACCGTGCGCAAGGCGTCCCGGTCCAGAAAGGGCTGCAACTGGCGGATCAGGCGAACCTGATAAAAGGCCCCCCTGGCCACGGCCGTCATGTGCTCTTCTAAAGACAGCCATGCGTCCAGGACACCCAGATTGCGAGCCCACTCTGTGGGGGGCAAAGATTCACCCCCAATAGTCAGCGATGGCACCTGCTGACTATATCGGGACGCCGGAAGCCACAGCCACTCGGTCTTGGAGGGGTTGAGTCTGAACCTGTTCCTCCCCATCCAGACCCGCAGGCCTCCAGGCAGCGAGACATCACATCAAGGGCATCGTTGGGGTGGTCTGGGGTGGAGATGTACAGCTGAGTATCATCAGCGTACAGATGACACTTCACCCCAAAACCACGGATGATCTCACCCAGCGGCTTCACATAAATGTTGAACAGAAGGGGTGAGAGGACCGTAAAAGAGCAAAAGGACGTAAAACTCCAGAATTTGAAGGAATATTTGGATCAGGTGCCTCCCCAGCGTCACTATGGATTAATCCAGTTGGCGGTTCCTGGAATCTTACATACATCATTTTGGTCTGTCCTGAAATTTGGGGGTGCCCAACTTTAAGACATGGACTTCAACTCCCAGAATTGAAGCCAGCCATGCTCAGAGAGCACCAAGGACCCCCCAGCCTCCTCGTCTTGCCTTCAGATCCTCCCCCCTACTCTCTGATAGCCCCTCAGATATTGGGAGACTGGTATCATGTCATCCCTGGTCCTTCTCTTCATTAGACATTCCCAGTTCCTGCAACTGTTCTTCATATGTTTCAGCCTTCAGTCCCTTAATCCTCTTTGTTGCTCTTCTCTGCACTCTTTCCAGAGTCTCCCCATCTTTTTGATATTGTGGTGACCAGAACTGGATCAGGATTCCAAGTGTGGCCTTACCAAGGCATTATAAAGCGGTATTAACCCTTCACGTAATCGTGATTCTGTCCCTCTGTTAATGCAACCTAGGATTGTATTGGCTATTTTGGCAGCTGCAGCAAACGGCTGGCTCGTATTTAAATGGTTATCCACTAGGACTTCTGTCTGAATGCAGATTCATCACCGTCTGGAATGAGACCGCTGACCGCTGTATCATCTGCAAACTTCAGTACTTTAACAGAGGGATCCTTTGCGATGCAGTCCTTGGTCTAGGGCAGGGGTGTCAAACTCAATTTCGTTGAGGGCCGCATCAGGGCTGTGGTTGACCTCTGGGGTGGGGGGGACAGGCAGGCAAGGCTGACTGGGCAGGAATGGCCAGGTTGACGCCACTCCCCAGAGGGCTGTCCTGTTTCCTCTTCGCACTGGATAGACCGGGCTGAAGCCATGCAGGCCGGAACCTTACATTTTCTAGGAAGGCCCCGCGGGTTAGATCTGACCACATCATGGCCTGGATGCAGCCCACGGGCCTCGTGATCGACACCCCTGGTATAGAGAGAGAAGAGCAATGGAGAGAGCATTCAGCCCTGTGCTAACTGTAGAGGTATCTGATGTGATTTTTGTGTGATTTTGAGTGTGCTTTTCCATGTGGTTTTTCCCTGCCTTCACCTCAGGAAAGTTAGCGGTCAAATTTAAAGTGGAAATATTTAGCTGGTCAGTCCCAACAGCCTCTCGCTGAATTCCCACAGCTTCTTAGCCAGTTGGTCATCGCAGGCCTGTGGACTGGGCACCTTCGGCTGGCAGTCCACGAAATACCGCCCGCTCAGCCTCTCGATGCCCTCCTCGGTGGCGCAGTAGATGGAGGTCTGAGCCCCAGCCTCGCAATTTCGGATGAACAGCCTCACGAACCAAATCAACCAAAGTGACCACCTGGGTTGGAAGCGAGCAATTTCGGTTTTAACAATTCCTGAAATCGAAGGCAGAGGGAATATGCCAGGGATGGAGCGTGGCACTCTTTGGACAACATGTTTCTTGCAGACGTTTCATTACTCAACTAGGTAGCATCATCAGTGCTAGAAGGGAGGGGGTTTGCAGGGAAGAGGGGGAGGAGGAGGAGGAGGAGGAGGACGGGAAGGGAGGAGGAGGAGTAAGAGAAGGAGGAGAAGCAGGAGAAGAAGCAGAGGAGGTGAAGGAGGAGGAAGCAAGGAAGGAACGGAAAAGGCAGAAGAGGAGTAAGAGACTGGGGGAAACCTCAGGGGGTTGGACTAGAAGACCTCCAAAGGCCCCTCCCACCCTAACATTATAGGATTCTGGACCCGGAAGGGAGGAGACGTCTCCCTTCCCAGCTGAGCTCTCAGAGGGGGTTGAGGGAGCCTCAGTGGGAGAGAAATGCCTGGCAGAGCCCCAAACGGACCTGGGGGGGGGCTCCATCTGGGGTGTCTTGGAGCCAGACTTCCACTTACCTGGATGAACCGCGTAGCAGGTGACGTTGGTTCCTTCCAGCCGCTTGGCCAACTCTCTGGCATGGAGCATATTGGCTAGTTTGCTGTTGGCGTATGATTGTCCGCCCTTCATCAGGCGCTTGGTCGGTTTGTTGAAGGTCCGAAAGTCGATCTTCCCATACATGTGTCCACTCGAGGACAGAATTACGATCCTGCTCGGGGCGCAGCGCTTCAGCCGGTCCAGGAGCAGGTGGGTCAGCAGGAAGTGGGCCAAGTGGTTGACCTGGAAGGCCTGGTCAAAGCCATCGGAGGTTTGGCCATCCTTAAGGACCCCTGCCAGAAAAGAAAGCAGATTATAGGCAGTCCTCGGTTTACAACGGGCCACTTCGTGATCATTCGAAGTTGCAAGAGATACCCAAAATGTTTTATCACCCAGTTCGCTCTGGGATCACATGGCCGCACTTTAAGCACTTGGCAACTGGCCTTAACTTAGCAACGTGTCCCGCAGTCACGTGACCACAATTTACAACATTTTAGTCAAAAAACAGAGTTTCTTCCACTTTTCAGCAAAAACACCCTGTAGTGAACAAATGATTCACTTAATGACCGCCGCAACAAAGATCTTGAAATCATAGGGGTCACAGGGATGACCTGCTTTATAATCGTCATGCCTTACAACCATAATAGGCAGGCAACAGGCTTTTTACGTCAGCTAAGTCAGTTTGGTTTAGTGGTTAAGCAGGAGGCTATGAGTTCAAATCCTGCCTGAAAAGTGACTGCGTGACTTTGGGGCAATCACCAGGAGATGGTAAGTTCCAGCTCCACCTTAAGCACAAAAGCCACCTAGGTGACTTTGGGCCAGTCTCTCTCTCACTTTCAGCCCACCCCACCTCACAGGGCTGTTGTTTTGAGAAAAATAGGAGGAGATAGTTCCACTGGTTCTGTTTGCCTTCAGTTACTCGTAATAATAATAATAAAGGCAGTATACGAAAAACGAACTACCAGAAATAGGAGAGAGCCGCTTCTCAAGTTATGGCCAAGTCCCCGAAGGGAGAGAAATCCCGGAGACGGCCAGAATCTTCCTGCTTCTTTTCCCCTCTGGAGACCCCGGGGAGGGTCTGCTCTGCCCCCACCTGCGTTGTTGATGAGGATGTCCAGACGGGGCTCCGATTCTAAGAAGCTCTGCGCAAAAGCTCGGACGGAGTTCAGGCTGCCCAGATCCAGGATCATCAGGATCACCTCCGAGTTCCCACTTTCCTGGAAAAGGAGCGGAAGGAATCCTGTTCCTGTGTTGCTGACTATCTTGCCTACTATGCATATGGATGTTAAATATATTTATTTATATAAAACTACAGGTTCATGTCAGTGTCTCTGATTTCCTTTGGACAGTTGTTGCGCAGTTCCCTGACCCAGATCCAACAAAACCACTTCCAGGAAAGCGGCTGCCGCGAAAAATATGGAGCCCCCTGAATAGGACCAGGACAGGCGGTGACAGAATTCAAGGCAAAGCTCTTTAAGCGGGGAACGGCCGAGAGTCCATAATGCAACTGAGGCGCATTGGAACTGTTGAGATATTAAATGGAGTAGCTGGAACAGTAAAGTGTACAGTGGTAGCTGACTGGTTGGAGAGTTCTGGCTCTGCATGAGGCAATCTGCACTATGATTGGTTGCTGTGGGTATAAAGGGGGAGTTTCCCTTTTTTCCCGCCTTTTTCTTCTGTGGGCTCTGTTTGCTGTTTGATTTACCTCATGAATGTTCCTGTGTTGCTGACTATCTTGTGTTCTTTCTTTCTGGATGATGAGAAAGACAGATGTAAATTTGAATGTGTGTGTATGTCTATGTGTATATACATATACATATATATCTATTTTCTTATACATATATACTGTGCACACACACACACGTATATGTATATATGTATGCATGTATGTATGTACACACACACACACACACACACACAGACAGCTGGGCAGCTGCTGCGCAATTCCTAGACAGCAACAAACAATAACAATTTAGTCCAAAAATGTCTCCTTAGGCAGCTGGGATGATCTCATCACAGCGATCACAGATGCAGTTAGATGATTAGCTTCCCTCAGATATCGAATTATAACATCTATCCATTGCGAGTCTACGGCGCCATATTTAGCAATAGCCCTTAGACTTAGATACCGCCTCACAGTCCCTGTCCAGCCCTCTCTGAGCGGTTTACAGAGTCAGCCCCCAACAATCCGGCTCCTCATTTTACCCACCTCGGAAGGAAGTTACTATTATTTTACTCTAACATTTTGTCTCGTCTATTGTATTGTCCACCTATTATATATACAGGTAGTCCTTGACTTATATGAATAATTGAGCCCCAAACATCTGTTGCTAAGGGAGACAGCTGTTAAGTGAATTTTGCCCTATTTTACAACCTTTCTTCCCACAGTTGTTAAGTGAATGACTGCAGTCAAGTTAATAACATGGTTCTTAAGTGAATCTAGCTTCCCTATTGACTTTGCTTGTCACAGGTCACAAAAGATGATTGCATGATTCCAGGATACTGAAACCGTCATAAATGTGAGTCAGTTGCCAAGTATCTGAATTTTGATCCCGAGACCATTGGGATACTGCAATGGTCATAAATGTGAAAAACGGTCATAAGTGCCTTCAAACTTCGAACAATCACTTAATGAAGTTGAGGATTACCTGTATAATATCAATCCCATTGTGACTCTATGGCGCCATATTATGGCGATTTTATCATGGTTTTACAATAACTAAACATACATTTGTGTTTGTGTGTATAGTGTGTTTTATCTGTGTTGTATATCAGGGATTTCATGATCTCTTTAGATGCCATATGCTAAATAAATGAATAAAAATAATCAGGAAAACACCTGGATGCAGAGGAACGGAGGAATGGAGAGAACCGCGCGGCAGGCGCTTACCCGTCTGATGTCGTACATGGCGGATTCTCCTCTCGCTTTGTCACGGCATGCCAGGATGACACGGGCCCCTCTCCGGGCCAGATCCACCGCAGTGGCCTTCCCGATCCCTGAATTTCCCCCTAGGAAAGGGAAGAGAAAGGATTCACCGAGATCACACAGTCTTTATTTATTTATTTGTTTATTGGTTCAATTTATATGCCGCCCTTCTCCGGAGACTCAGGGCGGCTTACAATGCGTTAAGCAATAGCCTTCATACTTTTGTATATACCTATTTAGTAGGGCTTTCAGGCCCCCCTAAGCGCTGTTCTTTTTTATACAAAGTCATCTTATTGCCCTCACAATCCGGGACCTCATTTTACCTACCTCGGAAGGATGGAAGGCTGAGTCAACCTTGAGCCTGGTGAGATTTGAACTTGCAGTAATTGCAGGCAGCTGGTGCTACTTAACAGCACTTTAGTCTGCTGCACTACCAAGGCGCAGCAGACGGGGACCCAGGAGTTGTGACTGCATCTGTGTGCCTGCAGTTTTTGTGGCGTTACACAATGAAGCATTTGTTTGGCAGTGTTTCTCAACCTTGGAAACTTTATGATGGCTGGACTTCAACTCCCAGAATTAAAAGAATGCAACTCTGCAACAGAGGAATTATCGAGCCCGTCATCTGCACCTCCAGAACTGTCTCGTTTGGCACAGCAGCGACACAGGGCAGGTGCAGACTTCAACGGATAGTGAGGACTGCAGAAAAAACCAATCACAACCAGCCTATCTTGCATTAAGGACCTGTGCGCTGCACGGGTGAGAAGGCAGGCTGAGAAAATATCTACAGACCCCTCACATCCTGGACCTAAACTCTTGCAACTCCTCCCCTCAGGATGCCGCTATAGAGCATTGCATGACAAAACAACCAGATACAGTCGTCGCCCCCCATCCCCCCCGTACCATCACTCAGCTTAACACCTAATTCCCACAGCACTCTCTGATTCCTGATCTTTTCTCATCTTTCCTACTATCTTCCCCTATTGCTTTCTTATGATTTATCCACTGTTTGTAACTTATGATTAGTGATTGTAACTATGATTATGACCTATGCCCTATTATTAGCTTATTCTATTCTGTTCTGTTCTGTTCTGTTCTGTTCTGTTCTATTCCCATTCCCATTCCCATTCCATCCATTCCGTTCAAAAGGCACCCCAGAGGTCTTCTAGTCCAACCCCCTGCTTCAGCAGGAAAGACCCTATATCATTTCAGACAAATAGTTGTCCAGTCTCTTTTTCAAAGCCTCCAGTGACTCCCTCTTGCAGTTACTGGCATTAAGCCAGTTCCACCTAGTCTACACCTATACAGTCGGTTTTTCCTACCTTGCTCTTATCTACGTTCAATTTTGTTTTGTTTGTTAATTGACTAGCAAAAAGTCCATCTGTTTCTTCTGCTTGGTTGGGTGCCCTGTATTACACACCTATGACCATGTCCTCCGTTTTTCCTTTCATGTCGACCCACAACATGATCCTAGGAGGTTTTCACCCTTGGATTTCTGCAAGTGACCTCTGACATATGATGCAACTCCACCTCCCCTTTTGTGAGATCCCTTTCTTTTGAATCGTTTGTATCTTTCCATCAGTACATTCCAGTCATGAGTTTCATCCCACGAATTTTCTCTAATGGCAACGACCATCACACTTGCCCTCTTACACTCGTATTTCACGTTCACCCTGTTTGTTCCCTAAACTGTGACCATTAGAGCATCTTTGCGGCGTCCTGTTCTCCTACTCTGCATCTGAGTTTTTCTTCTTTCCCTTTGCTCCCTTCCTCCTTGTAGGATTGGTTATCTGGGGGGGTTTGCTTGGAATTAGCTTCCAAAGGTTGTGAAGATTGCTCCCCCTCCCCCTCATTTTTAACGTAAAGCCCTTGGGGGAAGATGAGCTACGGTTATTATCGGAATATCTTCTTCCCAGTTCTTGGGAGGTTCAGCCCATCCCTTGCCAGGAGCCCTTCGTGGAGGTAAGGCAGCCCAGGGCGTAGGACAGGGGTCTCCAACCTTGGCAACTTTAAGCCTGGCGGACTTCGGCTCCCAGAATTCCCCAGCCAGCTTTGCTTAAAGTTGCCAAGGTAAAACTCCAGGCTTAAGGATGCCGAGGTTGGAGACCCCTGGCTCTAGGAAACTGAGGTTCTCTTGATGACCCCAGTTAGAAATCCAGTGGTTCCTTTCTCAAATGCTTTGCTCCCTCAATGCATGTTGGCCTTTTAGTGGGAAGGGAGTTGTTTGTTTTCTGCTTCATAATTTAAACAGTAGATTGTTCCAATGTAAGGAGCTTCTCTCCATCCTGGGGGCAGGACTACAGCCCGTGGGGCAGCCAAAGCAGAGCTAAGAGAAGTGACCCTTGCCCCCATGTAAAGTGAGACCTGGGTAGCTTGAAAAGCCGGTTTCCAGCCGCCTCCTGTGCCAAACAACTGGCACAAATTGTGGCTGATACGATAGTAAAGATCCAGTATCTGAGGGGCTGCCCCAAAGAAGAGGGGGTCAGCCTATTCTCCAAAGCACCTGGAGGCAGGACAAGAAGTAAGAGACGGAAAGTAATTGAGGAGAGAAGCATCCTGGATTTATGGAGGAACTTCCTGACAGCAAAAGCAATTAGTCAGCGGAACAACTTGCCACCAGAAGTTGTGGGTGCTTCATCCCTAGGGGCTTTTAAAGAAGAGATTTGTCTGGAAGGGCGAGAGTCCAACTTGGGAGCTTTAAGACTTGTGGGCTTCAACTCCCAGAATTCCCCATAGCTGGCTGGTTGGATTCCTAAGGCTGGAACAGGGTCTCCTGCTGGAGCTCAGCATTGGACGTGTGTAAGAAGAGATTGGACACCCCTGGTATAGGGTTGGAGCAGGAGGGTTGGGCTAGAGGACCTCCCAGGTCCCTTCCAGCTCTGCTATTCCCTTCGTCCTTCCGAGGCTCCCCTGGCTGGTCCAAGCAGGGTCTCCGGCAGCCCAGCCCAGCCCCCCCCCGCTCTTCCGCACCCTCCGTCCTCCCTTCCTGGCCGGGGGTCCGGGGAAGCCCCAGGACGGCTGGCATCCGCGGAGCCTCCCGGGTCAGTTCTCAGCCGGTTCCTTCCCGAGGGGCTTTTTTGGGCGGACTTTCTCGGCTGCCTCTGAAGCGCCTTTGGGGCAAGCAGGACCTGCATGGGGCAGAATCTGCGCGGACTTCGACGGCCGCGCTGCGCTTTTGCTCCGGGATTCTGATCCTGCGCGGAGCTATTGAAGTGGGAGGGGGGCTTATGGAAGGAAAGAAGGAAGGAAGGAAGGAAGGAAGGAAGGAAGGAAGGAAGGAAGGAAGGAAGGAAGGAAGGAAGGAAGGAAGGAAGGAAGGCAATGCCCCCCAGACCCCCCCTTCCCCCCCCAGCTGACCTGTGATGAGCACCGTCTTGCCCCGCAGGCTGACCGCGTTCCGGCACCAGGTGGCGGCCCCCAAGTAGTAGTAGAGCAGCGCGTAGAGCCCCAGCAGCAGCGCCGCCCCCGCCCCCAGCGCCCCCAACGCCTCCATGGCCCGAAGTCCGCTGGACCCGAAGTCCGCCTCCGCTTCTCTTTTTATCTCCCAGGACCCCCCCCCCTCACGTCGTCCCGCCCCTCCCCCCCCGGGAGAGGCATGGTCACCCGCAGAGCTCCCACCCTCTCGCCCTCCCTTCATCCCCTCTTGGGCTCGGAAGAAAGAAAGGGAGGGAGGAAGGAAAGGAAAGGAAAGGAAAGGAAAGGAAAGGAAAGGAAAGGAAAGGAAAGGAAAGGAAAGGAAAGGAAAGGCAGGCTGGCTCCTCAGGGGGAGATCTAGGGAGCAATTTCATGCTAGGGAGAAGAATTCATCCGTGGAAGGGCTTCCCTCCAGAAGCTGTGGGTCTCCATCACTGGAGGTTTTTAAGGAGAGACTGGACAGCCATTTGTCTAAAGTGGTATATAGCAGGGGGGAAATCCAAATTTGTTTACTACCGGTTCTGTGGGCGTGGCTTGGTGGGCATGGCAGGGGAAGGATACTGCAAAATCCCCATTCCCTCCCCACTACTGGGGCCAACCAGAGGTGGCATTTGCCTGTTCTCCGAATTACTCAAAATTTCCGCTACCGGTTCTCCAGAACCTGTCAGAACCTGCTGGATTTCACCCCTGGTATGTAGGGTTTTCTGCCTGAACATAAGAGGGCTTTCGAATAGAATAACAGAGTTGGAAGGGACCTTGGAGGTCTTCTAGCTCAACCCCCTGCTTAGGCAGGAAACCCTACACCACTTCAGACCAATGGTATAAATTTGGCTAAAAGAACAGAAGAGAATGCCAGAGTTGGAAGGGACCTTGGAATCTTCTAGCAATCAAATTTCTCTGGCATGATCTGTTTTTGACAAATCCATATTGGCTTTTTCCAGAATCTTCCCAGGGATTGAGGTCAGGCTGGTAGGTCTGTAGTTTCCTGGCTCCATTTTCCCCCCTTTTTTGAAGATGGGAACCACATCAGCTCTTTTCCAGTCCTCTGGCAGTTCCCCGGTGCTCCAGGATCTTGGAAAGATACAGTTCAGTGGTTCTGAGATCTCGTCTGCCAGGTCCTTCAGAACCTTGGGCTGTAATCCATCCGGTCCTGGTGATTTGAACCCACCTAGGGTGGACAGGTGCTCACTTACCATTTTCTTCCCTATTTTAACTTGAGTTCCTAATCTGTTTTTTATGGTGGTATTTTTGATAGGTTGGACTGGTTTTTCCCCTTTGTGTAAAGGTGGACGCAAAAAATGTTCTGCTCTCTCCCTGTTGCTTGTCACCTTCTTGCCATTTTCTCCCATTGAAGCCTTTTTTGTTATTTTTGACTTGTGTCGCAAGCCTTAGTTCATTTTGAGCCTTAGCTTTCCTGACTTCATCATTGCAGGCTTGGGCTATTTGCTAATATTCTGCCTTAGTTATGTGCCCCTTTTTATATTTGTCCTTTTTTGTCTTTCAATTTCTCTTCCTGCAGCCATGCTGTTATTTTTCTTCTTCATTGGAGTTACGCTAGACTGGGCTTTTATAATCTTACTTTTCAAAATTTCCCAAGCTTCTTGAATTGTTTTCTCCTTGAGGATTCTCATCCAGGGAATCTTTCCCAAGCTCTCTCTAAGTTTATTGAAATTAGCTCTCTTAAGGTCCTAGACTCTAGTTTGACTTGTGCTTGCATAATGTTGAATTCCAATCCTTCTATCATCTCATCTCTGTTAGTGAGAATTAAATCTAATATGGCTGACCCCCTAGTTCCCTTCTCTACTTTTTGGGAGACAAAGTTGTGTGCTAGGTTTGTCAGGAACCTGGTTGATCTCCCACTTGGTGCAGAGTTTGTCTCCCAGGTGATGTCAGGGTAGTTAAAGTCCCCCATTACGATTGTGATGTGCTTCCTACGTACCTTAGTTAACTGACTGGCAAAAAGTTCATCGATTTCCTCTGTTTGGTTGGGTGGCCTATAGTACTATAGACCTAAGGCAATGTCATATTTCACACCCAGACCCCATTTTTATATTGACCCAAATGCATTCAGGATGGTTTTCATCATTGTTCTGCTCTATTTCTGTAGAGATGTAATTATTTCTTATATTTAGTGCAACTCCACCTCCTCTCTTATTTGATCTGTTTCTTTTAACTAATTTAAATCCCTCTAGCTGTATATTCCACTCATGGGTTTCATCCCACCAAACTTCCGTAATGGAAACCATGTCATATCTGCCCCATTTACTTGAATTTCTAGTTCGCCTGGTTTATTCCTCATACTTTGTGTATTGGTGTGTAGACATTTGACCCCGTGTCAGCTTTACACCTAGCCTGTTTTGGGCCTTCCTGCCCCCACTTCCTTACCCCCTGCTTGATTAGTGCACGTGGTATGGCCCCCACTATCAAAACCTTGATTTTCTTTGACAGCAAGGTTGAATTTCTTAACATCTACGTTGGAAGACCTCCAAGGTCCGTTCCAACTAGAAATGGGAAGGCCTGTGGAAAAAGTGCTGGAAAAATTGGGTGACTTTGGGCCAATCACCAGGAGACAGTGAGTTCTAGTCCTGCCTTAGGCATGCAAGCAAGGCATCCTCAGGAATAGGATGGGAGACCATGAGGAGAGGCCAGAAGAGGAGGGGGCAAGGGTATAGTGAGAGGGCAACAGGGCTGCTGGAGTCCAAGTGCTAAGGCCGGACTCCCCTCAGATCAGCTTCCAACCATTTCCTTCCTTCCCTCCATCCCCATTCCTTCCCTCCCTCCTTCCTTTCTTCTCTCCTTCCCTCCCTCCTTCCTTCCTTCCTTCCCTCCTTCTTTCCTTCCTTCCTTCCATCCCCCTTCCTTCCTTTCCTCCCTCCTTCCTCCTTTCCTCCCTCCCCCTTCCTTCCTCCTCCTTCCTTCCCTCCTCCGCTCCATCCTTTCCTCCTCTGCTCCTTCCTTCCTTGCTTGCTTGCTTGCTTGTCAGCCAGGAGGGGGGTCGAGAAAGTGTCAGCGGTGCCGGAGTCCGTGGCTTTCCCACGCGGGGGCGGGGCGGGAGGCAGGGCGACGGGAGTGGCGTCCCGGGGAAAGGGATAAAAAGGTGGGGGGGCTGCGGGGCCAGCGGACTTCGGGCCATGGAGGCGTTGGGGGCGCTGGGGGCTCTGGCGTTGGGGGCGGCGCTGCTGCTGAGGCTCTACGCGCTGCTCTACTACAACTTCGTGGCGGCCACCCGGTGCAGGAACGCGGTCAGCCTGCGGGGCAAGACGGTGCTCATCACAGGTCAGCTGGGGGGGAAGGCGGGTCTCGGAGGGGGCCTTCCTTCCTTCCTTCCTTCCTTCCTTCCTTCCTTCCTTCCTTCCTTCCTGCCTGCCTTCCTTCCTTCCTTCCTTCCTTCCTTCCTTCCTTTCTCTCTTTCTCTCTCTTCCATCCTTCCTTCCTTCCTTCCTTTCTCTCTTTCTCTCTTTCTCTCTCTTCCATCCTTCCTTCCTTCCTTCCTTTCTCTCTCTCTCTTTCTCTCTCTTCCATCCTTCCTTCCTTCAATAACCCCCCCTCCCACCTCAGTGGCTCCGCGCAGGATCAGAATCCCGGAGCAAAAGCGCAGCGCGACCGTCGAAGTCCGCGCAGATTCTGCCCCATGCAGGTCCTGCTCGCCCCCGACTGAAAGGCGCTTCAGAGGCAGCCGAGAAAATCCGGCCAAAAAAGCCCCTCGGGAAGAAACCGGCTGAGAACTGACCCGGGAGGCTCCGCAGATGCCAGCCGTCCCCGGGGCTTCCCAGCACCTTGAGACCCCCCCCCTCTTCCGAGCAGGTGGGGAAGAGCCGGATTCTCTCCCGAGGGGCGCAGGCAAAGGAGCTGCTTGGTCCCGAACGGGATAGCCAGGATAACAGAGTCGGAAGGGATCCTGAAGGTCTTCTAGACCAACCCCTGCTCAGGTAGGAGACTCTATAGTAGCTTTCCAGACAAAGGGCTGTCCGGTGTCTTCTTAAAAGCTTCCAGGGATGGAGCCCCCACAACTTCTGGTGGCAAGTAGTTCCACTGGTTAATTGTTCTCCCGGTCAGGAAATTTCTCCTTCGTTCCAGGCTGAATCTCTCCTTGGTTAGTTTCCATGCGGTGCTTCTTGTCCTGCCCTCAGGGGCTCTGGAGACAGAGTTGTCCCCCTCTTCTTCTCTGTGGCAGCCCCTCAAACATTAGGATGCTCCTATCATGCCAGCCTGTGACTTCTCTTGAGAGGTCGGTGCCAGGTGATTGGCAGAGGAGGGGTTTGGAAAGCAGCTTTTCAGGCTGCCCATGGTTCATTTTACGTGGAGACAGGAGTCCCTTCGCTTAACCCCTGACTCTGCTTTGGCCACCTCAAAGCTCTCGTCCTCCCACCTGAGATGGAGAGAAGCCGGGAGCAATTCAGAGAAGCTGCAGAAGCTGCAGAAAAGCCAGCTTGGCCTTTGAAGAGAGACTGGAGGAGCTGGGAAGTTTACAAATCAAAGGGCATGTTAAATGTTCCCGCAAAATGAAGCTAAGATCCAGGATCAGGGATGGCTGTTGCCAGCAGGCAGATTCCACTTAAATTAATGAAACAATTCCTGATGTTAAGAGCAATTACTCCAGAAACAGGAAAGTTTGGCCTTGTTGTGAAAGCATCAGGATAGAAATCGTGAGATGGTGAGTTCTAGTCCTGCCTTAGGCGTGGAACCCAGGCTAAAGGGACTAGAACTCACCATTTCCTGATGATTGGCCCAAAGTCATCCAGCTGGGTTTTGTGCCTAAAATGGGACTAGAATAGAATAGAATGAGCTTGAATGGATCTCTTTCTTTCATTCACTCCCTCCCACCTCAGTGGCTCCACGCAGATTCTGCCCCATGCAGGTCCTGCTTGTCCCCGACTGAATGATTGTAAGTCGAGGACTGCCTGTATTACATCTGAATAATTTTAAGCCATTCTTCTTTGTTGATGTAAGATTCCTCCGAAACAGTTGTGAAAATCATCCCCTGAGTCACAATTTCTCCACCTATGCAACTTTAAGATGTTGCATTCTTTTAATTCTGGGAGTTGAAGTCCCCCAACTTAAAGTTTTCCAGGTTGAGAA